AAAGCCAATTTTCTTCCAAATGAAAACATTATCAACTCACTCCCAGGAGATAAGTTTGTTTAGAACAGAAAATTAGACCTCTCTGGTCACCCCCAACCCCACTCCTCCAGCAGTAAATCTTAAGGATCTAGGCCTATCTCTTGACATTCCAACAAGTCCAATCTGATGGATGTTTGCTTTCAAACCTGGTTCCTTTTTTTTCCCTTCTCATATCTATGCATGCTTTGTACTATGCTTTTGACCAGATTTACCATCCATCCACCCATTTACAACTCAACACTTTAGGACTCAGCTCAGGACTTCGTGCAACACACCCATTCATAGGATTAGGTAGCCCTCCTATGGGTTCCCACCATATCCTAGCAGACCTTTCTGATATTGCACTGAATGCATTGTATCATGAGTGTCTGTCTGTGGCTCCTCTAGGTAGTAATTGCCCTGCTAACAAGGCCCAAGAATCAGTCTCTCCCTCATTGTACCCCCAGCCCTTAGTCAGATCCAGCCTCCCTTCTGCTAATCGAAGCCTGTCCCTTGGCTACTTAAATACCTTCCTAAGCTTTCTGTTGTCCTAAGGGCGAAGAAGAAAGTTCTTACCTGAGCTTGGAACAAAGTCCTTTAACACTTGACCCCTCTCCCTTTCCAGCCTCACGTTTTACCACTTCCTGTTCTGCCTTTGCCCCCACTGGCCTGCAATAATAGTTCACATTGACCTTGTTCATTGCCCTGAATGTCTACACTTGCTGTGTGTGTCTACACCACCCCTGACTTACCTTTCCCCATAGTGACACGGACTTAACTGTAAACTGTTCCATGTCTTCTCTTGCTAAATGCCATGAAAATAGGAGCCACGTTAGTTTTATTTACCCTTCTATCTCTGGTCCCCGGCACACAACAGACCCTCAATCATATTAAATAAATCACGACCTTACAAACTCTTGTTATCAGGCCGTCTGGGGTGAGGAAGACCACAAGATCGGACATGAGATGGGGAAAAAACGACCTCCCGCCTCCGGCTCTCAACCTAAACTACTCTGATGGAAATGCTGCTTCCTAGGAAGAGAGTAGAGGGGGGGAAATGGCGGTGGGGCGGGGCGAGGGGGCGGTCCCTAAGGAGGAGTAAATGTCTCCCAAGGCCTGCCCTCTGGGGTCTCAGGGCATTGCAGGCTCTTCAGAACCCACCACTCATGGGGCCAACTGCCAACCTAGGGAGGATCAGAAGGTTTCCAAGCAGGATCAACAGGTACCCAGTAGGGAGAGGAGATCATGGGAGAAAAGAATTGAAAGTGGGGTTGGGAAATGGATTCACAACACATGCAGCCAGATATCTTTACTCATTCTGTGACTTAAGAGAAGGTGGAAATTCATTGGTGCCTTGGGTGTCCCAGGACACTTGGTTCTGGGTGAGGAGTGGGGCTAAGGAGGGACAGACATTCAGGGTGAGGGGCTCCAGTGTCATCAGCTTATCATACAAGTGCCTTTCTCCTTGAAGGGATTCTTGTCCTCAGGGATGCCTTTGAGAAGAGGGTCATTTCCTGCTTCTGCCTCCACATAATCCTTGATTTCTTTTCCCGTCTTAGAGATCTGTGAGAAAGCAAAATATGGTTCTGGCCCTTGTTTGTTGCTCAGGATCTATGACTTGGTCAGCCCCAAGAAAACAGGCTTCTGAACAGGATGGAGACAGTGGCCAGAGAGGAGAAAGATGAAAGGGAAGGCAGGTGTGAGAGGAACGCGAGTTCCTTGCCCAGAACCACAAAGCTTGACTCATACCTGTGAGGGACACTGGGCCAGGCGCAGCCCAGGAACAGGGCTGGAAACCCCTGATCCCTCCGGGCTCTGAGGTTCTCTCCATGCATTTCCATGGGGTCAAACCCTAGCCTCTTTCCACATCCTACCCCAACCCAGGGGCACGTCCTGCTGCGAGTTCCTTGCCCAGAACCACAAAGCCTGACTCATACCTGTGAGGGACACTGGGCCAGGCCCAGCCCAGAAACAGGGCTGGAAACTCCTGATCCCTCCAGGCTCTGAGGTTCTCTCCCACGCATTTCCATGGGGTCAAACCCTAGCCTCCTTCCACATCCTACCCCAACCCAGGGGCACGTCCTGCTCCTTCTACTACCCCATTGTCTTTCCCAACTCCATGAGGAACAGGAAGGGGTAAGGAAGGAAAGAGGAAGCTCACCAGGGTTCTTGGGTTCTTCACTTCCTTCTTCAGCTGCTCTACCTCCATCTTCAATAGGTCCTTCTCGCTGAGCTCCTGGGCCATCTTGCACTAGAGAGACCTTGTCCTGGAAAGGATTCTGTAGATGAAATTGCAAATCTCTTGGGCTCTCCCAGCTCCCTCCTCTGCACTCTCCACGTCTCAACTTCTACCTTCTTCTCTGCTGTGTCCCTCAGTTCATGCCCCTCATTGCTCACCATATGTTCTCCGCATCCTCCCACCCTCCCTTCATCCTGAGTCTGAGCTGAGTCTTGCTGCTGCATTGTTTGTTTTCCAGTCTAAGCTCAAGAGGAGAGGACACTCCCAGTTTGATGGGAGAGGCACAACCTCTGCCCTCAGATAAAGACCTGTCTATGGAGGAAACAGGAATCAGAGCTTGGAGGAGGGAAAAGGAGTTTCTTTCAGTGAGGAAGATTTGGGAAGCAAAATTATTGTCCCACATACAACTAGGGTAGAAGTTTTCAGGAAACTCCAGCTCCTGTCAGGGGAGAGTGTACCCTAGTGGTTTAGAGAAGAGCTTTGGAAGCTGACAGATGCCAACTCTGATCCCAGCTTTGCTGTTTCCAAGATGTGTGGCCTTGGGCAAGTCACTTAACCTCCTTGAGTCTTAGTTTCCCCAACTGTAAAATGGGTATAATAGTAGTACCTACTTTATACGATTACTGTGAGCACTAAAAAATAATGCATATAAAATATTTTAATACACTACCTGGCACATAATGAACACTGAAGACATTTATCATCATCACCATCATCACTACACAGTTATCAGGAAGTCCTGTCTGGTGCCTAATCTCAATAATTCTAAGACTATATTCCAGCCCAGGACAACCTCAGCCCCTCTCACCTGCCGAGAAAAAGCGTGCACTTCAAGTCACTTGTCCCCGACCAGTCAAGATGGTGTTTGAGCGTCCCAGCTCCTCATCAGCTGAAAGTCTTTGGATAAAGCAGATGGCCCGGAAGCCCAAATCTCTGAGGCCTAAGCTGATCACAGGCTCATGGTTCTAAGCCCCTCCATCAGCTTGAGCCTCCAAACCCTCACTGCCACCAGAGCAGACACCCTTCCCCCTGCGTGAGCCCCACTCCTTTACTGACCCCTCTGGCTTAGAGCCTATTTCCCCAGTTCTCACCCTCTAGCCTTAATGGTTTCCTCCCCCACCTTCTCTTCCAAGCTCTCCCCTCCCCTACCGCTGAGCCTGTGCTGAGGCGGTTCATCCCAATGAAGCAAGTCCTAGATCAGCTCCTAACTTCCATCACCCAAGAAGCCTTTGTGTCCCCCACTGGAGCCCCATAATTTCACCTTACAAGTTTCTCCTGGCTCTCTCTTCATTCACTCATTCGATAAAAATGTATCTACATAAGAGATTGTGCCAGTTAGCACTTGGGCCCATGGCTCCCTCGAACACTTGTGTCCATGCTTCTTTGCCTCCATGCCTCTCTCTGAGCCCTGGGCATAGGTCTCCCTCAGCAGTCCCCCAGAATAGGACCCATATCCTGATCTTTCTCTGGGTCTCCTCCCAGGACCACCCGAGATGACAGACACTGAGCTCCTGCTCAGGCTGACGCCTATCCAATAACAAAGAGACCCTCTTGAAAAGCAGATATTAAGGGACCAATATGGTCAGTGAGTGATCTTCTTTTTTTCCTGCCTCTAGAGTCACAGCCTAGGTGGCGGGAGGGGCAGGAAGGAGGCCTAGAGTCCATCCGAGGGACCAATACGGTCAGTGAGTGATCTTTTTTTCCTGCCTCTAGAGTCACAGCCTAGGCGGCGGGAGGGGCAGGAAGGAGGCCTAGAGTCCATCCTAACTCCCCCTGCTCCAGGATCGAGTCCCACTCACAGCTGCGGACTCTAAGTATTTGAGATTGGGACAGGATCCTGGAGGTCATCTAGTCCAGCTCCCCTGTTAATGCAGGAAATAGAGCACTTACCTCCTGAGGCCAGCTTAGTGCTCTATTTATCCACCGCTGCTTCCTAAACCTGACCAGTTCATCTGAAAATTGAGCCTGGTGCTTCTCAAAGCCAAGTCCTTCCTATTGTCTAGTCTGAGTCCCTCACTACATTTGATCCATTTCACTACGTCTGGTCTCCATCAGGCACAGAGCATGCACATGAGATCTTCATCACATGGAACCCTTCCAAGGCTTGATAACACTTCTCAGGGGACCTCTGGCTGTATCTTCGTGGTGTACAGCCTGATTTCTCTTGCTGCTGCATTGTCTGTTTTCCATTGTTGCTGCTCTGCCACTACATGGCCCCCCAGCATGACTGGTCCCCATATCCTCTCCACCCTCCACTCTCCTGTCCCTTGGTGACTCATCCCTGGGCTTCCCAAGGAAGCCCCCACCCTCTGCCCTTTCCTCCCCTTCCATGAGTGGAAAATCTATCTCCACCCCCCACTTCAGAGCGGGCCAGCCCCTTCCTCCGCAGTCTCCCACCCCACCCATCCCCCCAAACAGTTTCCTCTCCAGGCCCAGGGAGCAATCACAGCTGCCCCGACCTTGGCTTCCTCTGCTGGGAAGGATTGCGGGGCCGGGCCCCCAAAGGGGCCACTGGCTTTCCCCTTCCTCTGGGCAGGAGACAGAGAGGCATGGGCCCAGGGAGCAAGGACTGACTTCCTCTTGTCCCGGAATGAGCATGTCTGCCCTTTGCAAGCAGGTTTGGGTCTCTCACGAAGAGGAAACCAAAAGCAATGAGAGGGAGGGAAGGCAGAGCGACCAATCAAGGGCAGGGTGAGGCACAAAATCAGCGCCTCCCAGGGGAGCCTGTCAGAAGCTGGGGGCAATGGCGGAGCTGCAGCAGCTGCAGGAGTTTGAGATACCCACGGGCCGGGAGGCTCTGCGGGGCAACCACAGCGCCCTGTTGCGAGTTGCTGATTATTGTGAGGACAACTATGTGCAGGTAAGCAGAGTGGGCACAGGCCGCTGACACTCTGGCCCCTCCAGGGGCCCCCGGCCCACCCCCAGGGCAAGACCGCGGAAGGCATCTTGACAGGTTCTTGTCCTGGGTTTTGACAGAGAAATCCTCCTGCTCCAGGCCTTGGCTTCAACCCAGTCCCCTGAACTTCAACCCTGATCTCAAGCTACCCAAGCCCCCACTGTGCCCCTTCTCTCTTCCGAAGCCGCAGAGATGTTTGGGCAGGCAGTGCTATTCTATCCTGTTATCAGGTCTCACCCTAGGTTTATCTCCTTTCCAGCCTCGCACTTCAATCCCCGGGCCCAAAGACTTGTCCTCACACTAATTTTGTTGCCATCATTCCATTTTCAGACTGGCTCTAGGTGAGACTTCAAAAGAACTTCCCAAACATTGTAATGAACTTGAGGTGAACCAGTGAAAGACAGGAGACTGAAAATACATCAGACTAGGCTGGGTTAAAGAGAGGGGGTCTGACGCAGAGGCCGGGGGATGGACAACGTGACTGCCGGGGGCAGGCTACCAGCCAAAGACAAAGATAGGGGCATTTTAGAACAGTTTTCTAAATTATGTGGTTGTCTCAGCTGAGCAGGTACATTCCCGGATCAAGGGAAGAGGGACAAGAAAAACTTAATGACTGAGCACCTCTGTTGTTTCATTGATCCTCATAACCACCTCGTGCGACAAATATTAGTATTCCTATTTCATAGTGAGGAAACAGCAGCACAGGGAGGCGAGGTGACTTGCCCAAGGTCACACAGCCTGGAAACAGTAGAGCTGGCTATCAGCTCAGGCCTCCTGACTTCTGAAGCCAAGCCCTGTCGTCTCCCCTGCCTCCCTGCCGTGCTACATGACTCTCTGTCCTCAGTTTTCGCCGCTTCCTTAAGAGCTACAGACTAACCCTGTTATCCTTGGGTAAAACTTCATTTTTCTAACCTATTCTAACCGAATTGTGGGAAGAGGCACAGGGACCTCGCAGATCAGTGGGAGTGTTGAAAAAAAATAATAATAAAAGGAGCAGGTAGGTGCTCATGGGAAAAATGGCAGATTAAAGAGAGTCATTGATAATAACAGTTAAAATGCTCTGCACCCTTACTTTGCATTGCCTCCTTTAGTCCTTACCCGAGTCCTGTGAGGTGAGAACCACTCCCACTTCATGGCCTGGAGGCTGAGGTTAAGAAAGCCAGTCAGTGGAGAACAGACCTGAAGCCTATCAAGGCAGGGTGCTCACTCTTCTAAGGTCAGCCGTGCTTGTGGCAGAATGTGGATTTGAATCCGTCACTCTGACTCCAGAGCCCACCCACCAAACCTCTAGCTGAAAACGCTACCCAGGGTATAATTTCTGTCTGTGCAGTTGTTGAATGACCAACTTGTACATGAGATGAAACATGGCTCGTAAATCAGCTCTGTTCTCGTAATATTGGCAGGTGCACTCCTTCTGTCGATAAGGATGAAAGCAGTCCTCCCATTCCTTCAGTAACTTCTGCACATGTCAAAGTACTTTTGGGTGGGTTCTCATTTGCGCACAGTGTGCTCACAGGATTCGAGGGCACACATACCTGAGTCCAGTTTTCAACCCCAGCACCTACCAACTATCGGTCCTGTGGCAAATTTTCCTTATAGCTTCCTTTACGGTGGTCACAGGGTTAAATGTGACAATGTATTAAAGCATTTAGCCCAGTGTCTGCCCCTTAAGGAGGCCAGGATAAATGGCAGTTATTATCATTAGTATTCTTATTATTATGATCATCATTCATCAGAAGGATGAGAGACACAGACATAACAACAATCAATTCTAGTGAGGTGAAGCAGCCCTTACAAAACACCCAGGGCATCAGAAGCTCTAACACAGGTCGATATTCCTGGACGCCTGCTTCCTTCATGAAGAAAACTAACTACATGACCACACAACCAATTACCTTTCCTCACCTCTCCGAGGATCTTTGACTGGGGAGCAAATGCCTAGGAAGAGTTTGCATGACTTCTCAGAACTTCTCTTTAACCAAACCTGGTTCCCAGGTCCTCCATCCTCCCCCACCCACTCCCTCCACCACAACCAGGTGTCAGGGGACCCATGGGGAATGGGGGAGGGCAGGCTGGGGTCAACTGCAGATTTCTCTGTCAGGGTCCATCGAGTTTACCGATGGGGTAATTTGCATAACAAATATGCAGTCAGCCCTGAAGATGGATCCCAAACCCTTGACCTGGAGACCTAACTTTGGTCCAAGACCAAGGCCAGGGGTTGGTAGGCACCCAGGTTCTAGCCTCCCAGAGCTGGGACCAAGTAGATATTTTTCCTATTTGAGCTGATAGGAAAAATTCAGTGATGAATTGCACATGCCAGTCCATGGAGGGCGGAGATCAAAGGAGTAGTCGCTGTTTTGTCTGGGCTTTCATTTCCTTACCTATTAAAGGAAGGTCTTGAACTGGAACAAGAACTATCTTTTCTGGTTTTAACATTCTGGGTTGATTGCTTTGCCTTTTCAAAGCAATTGGTTGCATATGCTGATGAAATGTAAATTGCATGCAAATGAGCATCTCTTAACTGCTGTTGGAAGAGGAAGGCGGGAGGGACTCCTGAGAGGAGTGACAAGAGGGGTGGCTCAGGAGAGTCTGGGTTTGTCCTTTGGCTCCAGCCTGGCTCAGACTACATGGGAGGCACCCAGGCTCTCTGAGCACTTTGCTTTGATAGGTTCTGGTCTGTTCTCCACTGCCTGGCCTTGAGGAGTACTTGAGTGCTCTTAACAAGGAGACTCCATGGTGTAGCCTTGCCTGTCAGTCCACTGCCTTGCCATAGGCTTGCCCCAGACTTACTTCTTACCCTGCTGGAGAAAGGTACAGGCTAGAGGGCAGCAACACCATGACCCGACCAGAGATGAGGAAGCTGCCTGGGGAACCAGTTTTGCCCCAGCCCCCATGGTGTCTGATCCGGGACTAAAAAAACCCTCTTCTTTCTTCAGTCACTCCCTGCCCACTCCTCCATCACTGACTGGCAGTGTGACCCAGCTCGGCCCCGGGCATAGTACCCAGAATGCAATGGGAAGATGCCCAGCAAGTATTTGGGTTTGCATTTAACCCATTAATTAATTCACAAATGCATATTTCTTAAGTATCGCTGTGTGGGGAGCACTATCCCAGGATGGGATCCAGAATAAAACAGACAAATCTCTGCCCTCGCTGTGGTTACATTTTAGTGTTTGTGTGTATGTGGTGGAGGACAGATAATAAAATAAATAGATAAATAATTGCCGGTAGTGCTAAGTGCTTTGAAGAAAAGAAAACAGGGTAAATATGTTAGAGAGTCAATACAGAAGGGGCGGGGGTAAATTGTAGGATGGTGAGGGAAGGTGTCTCTGAGGAGCTGAGACTTAGTACTAAGGATTCTAGAAAGAAGTACAGCAAATGCAAAGGCCCTAAGGCAGAAACTATTTTAGTTTGATCAGGAACAGAAACTCAACAGCCAGTGTGACTGGAGAGGAGTAAATGAGAGGGTGAAATGGTAGGAGGTGAGGATGAAGAGAAAAGCAGGATCCAGTCTTGTGAGGTCCTATACGGGCCATAGTTAGAAGTTTGGATTTTATTCTCCACGTACTGGAAAGCTGGAGGGAATGAATGAATGAATGAATGAATGAAGTCACTCTCCTCTGGGCTTCAATTTTCTTATCTATAAAATGGATCAGATCATTGCTTCCCAAACATCCACTGGAAGACTGGGGCAAACCAAAGAACACAAGATCCACCTGGGGGAGTTTTTAAAGGCATAGACTCATCAGCCGCCCTCCCAGAGGTTCTGGTTAGAAGATCTGGGATGGGGGCTTGATGTTGGTTGGTTGGTTTTAAGTTCAAGAAGATCTCATCTCCAGCCAGTATTGCCTTCCTCTCTCTACTATTCACCTTTATTCCCCAAGAGGGTGGTCAATCCTCAGCTTTTTTTGAGGAGGGGTATCTTTTCCTTCTCCTGTACCCGTTCCCCAGGGCTGCAGATTTGCTTTCCCGGTGTCTTCTGAGTTCCTCTTACTATATCATCATTCATTTGGAAACCACTTCAAGCACCTACGGGTTGCTGCTTTCTCCCAATTTAGCCCCCACCTTCCCTATACCCTCTCTTATTCCGCTGGCCTAGCCAAGGATCAGTGGAAGGTGCTGGCATCTGACCAGGACTGTTTGTATTTCAGGCCACAGACAAGAGGAAGGCGCTGGAGGAAACCATGTCCTTTACCACCCAGGCCCTGGCCAGTGTGGCCTACCAGGTGGGCAATCTGGCTGGGCACACTCTGCGCATGTTAGACCTGCAGGCAGCCGCCTTGCGGCAGGTGGAAGCCCGTGTGAGCACGCTGGGCCAGGTAAGGGGTGTGGGAAAGCTTCTTGCATCAGCCTCCAACTCTACAGCCCCACTTGGGCATGTTCTCCTGCAAAAAATTCTTTCCTGCTTTTCTCCACATCCAAATGCCTGACTCTGCCTCAGAACCTTGGCTCTGAGCCTCCTTATCTCTGTGCCTGTGTCTCAGTGCTGGGCCTTGCTGTCCCATCAGACTAGGAACTCCCTGAAGGCAGAGCTCTTTCTTTCTCTAAATTCTACCTTGCATGGTAGAAAGCAGGCTCTACCAATCACGACGGCTGCATAGTCCAGGAAAGAGGCACCCTGTTTCCGTCTAAACACAGACAGTGACTAAATAAACGTTATAGACCCAGAGTGCTTGCTTGGCAAGGTCCTCTTCAGCCCTAAACGCACTGCCCTATACAGTGTCCCCCGCCTATCTATTATACACACCCTCCTCCTTCCTTCCTGAATCCTTGGCTGAGGAATTCATTGCCCCATAAACCACATGCACAGATCCAGTTACACATCAGCCTGGCCTGTGCATTGCCCCCATGTTCGGTGTGGGGTGTGTCTTTTCCTCTCGCCCTAACAACCTGAGTGCCCCCGCTCTCAGTGCTGTAGGTTTCTCCACAGAACATCCCAAGGAAAAGTTAATTTACTTATTTATCCCCCCAAAGGGAGAGCTGATCCTGCCACAATTCTCAGTCGCTTCCATGTTGTCCTCCTCTGCTCCCAGGCCAGCCTAGCGCTTCAGTCTCTTCCTGGCATCCCCACAGATGCCGTGTTTTCTCTTTTCCTCTGGTTCCTGCTCAGCTAATAATAACCCTCATTTTCTTCCACCAGGAAGTTACTCCAAAGTGACTCCATCCTCCCCTGGCAACTCTCTTTTCAAATGCTGTTTGGCCTTGGGGACAAAACTTACTCTTTCTCTGGACCTCACTGACTCCCATGGCCTCTGCCCCCCACACCAAAGCCTCTACCCTCTTCCACCCATAAGCGGAAGGGGCTGTCCAGAGGCCGCCTCACTGTCATTTCAAATCCTGTCGTGCAGATGGTGAACATGCATATGGAAAAGGTGGCCCGAAGGGAGATTGGCACCTTAGCCACTGTCCAGAGGCTGCCCCCCGGCCAGAAAATCATCGCCCCCGAGAGCCTACCTCCTCTCACTCCCTACTACAGGAAACCCCTCAACTTTGGCTGCCTGGACGACATTGGCCACGGGATCAAGGTAGAGAGAGGTTTCTCCACACCCTCTTCTTCTTCTTCATGGCTCCTCTCTCTCCAGGCCTCCAGTTCTCGTCCACATCCATGTTCTTGTCCCAACCTGCAGCCCTTTTCTTTCTTCACTCCCTGAAACCATCACCCTAAGTGGTCCCCTTACTCCCCAAGTCTTCCTTAGAGGAGGAGCCCTCTCCTCCTCCGTGAAAAGCCTTCATGACCCCTCCCTCCAGATTTGGCCTTTACCCTGTAGTCAGATGATCTGCTGAGAGTGACATTTGAGCTGTGGGTGCTGGGTGTGTGTGTGAAAGGGAAGAGGGGGAAGGGAGGATGTTGTCAGGGTGTGCATGAGAATGGCTCCCCAGCCACATGAGAATAGCGACTTCCTCTGTCTGGAGGTTTGAGGTCACTGTACTGAGAAGTCACCCTAGAGCTGCTGTTGGGTGAGAAGGGTTGGGGATGCAGCCACTCGAAGGGGACATGGTGAAGACAGGGAAGCATGACTGGCATTTTCTCAGCCCATCTCCTTCTAGGAGGTGAGAGAGGACACACACCTTAATCCATTTTGTCAATTCCTGTCCCCACACTCCAACATTCCAGGTCAGATTGAAGCTCCTCTGTATCTAAATGACCGCTTGATATCCTTAACATATCTTCTCCCCAAAAAGTAGAAACTACACTCTCTCCTTCAGTCACCAGGCTTCACCACCAGTAAGTTCTTCCTATTGTCCAACTTAAGTTCTTTAGGCTCGGCTCAAGTCCCTTTGTTTTGTCCCTAGTGAATTAGAGCAGAGGACATCATTCTGTGTACCCACTCTTGGGGAAACCCTATCAGTCATAGAAGGGCTCCCTTGCATGTGGATTTGCACCTCGTTATTTGCACATTCTCCTCTAAATTTCTGCTCCTCTCTGCCCTGAACTCTCCAAGGCCAGTTCCACAGGCCTGCTAACATGACAGGTAGGAAAAAATAAAATAAAAAAATAAAACGACAGGTAGGACATCTCTAAATGGCATGGTCCTTTCCTTTCCCCATGCCTTCCCCAGCCCTGCGCTGGAGTTGAGATCTGTCAGAGTTAGGGACCTCCACTCTGGGCACTAATATGCTTTGGGAGGAGGGCAGGATGACGGGCCCACTCAGCCGTTGAGGCCATGCAGAGGAAGTGGCCTTCAGACCACGTCTGTGCTCTGAGGTTTTCCGTGGGGCCTGCGGCAGACTTGGCGCTCAAGCCCAGGCAATGAGCAAGAGGGGGGTGGGGTGGGATGGAGTGAGAGAGGGGGCTGGGAAGTGGAAGTAGGAACTTGCTCTGCCCATGCTCTCCCTCCCGGTTCTCGTCTGCTTCTCTCTCATTTCCTCTCTGGGATGAAGGGGGCTACAGGGAGGTCCCCATCAATGTCAGAGCTGCCCCCTCCTTGCAGGATCTGAGCACGCAGCTGTCGCGGACCGGGACCCTGTCTCGAAAGAGCGTCAAGGCGCCTGCCGCACCCACCTCCGCTACCCTAGGGTGAGACCTCACCGCGAACCAAACCACCCACTCGATCTTGAAACTACTCCCTCACCCTCACCTCTGCACTGGGCGTCAATCTTCATCCTCCACTAGCTCCCCCTCCTCCTTCTTCCCCAGCGACACCCCCTCCCTCCTTTCATCCCTAGGAGACCGCCCCGGATCCCCGAGCCGGTGCAGCTCCCGGTGGTGCCCAACGGCAAACTGTCCGCAGCCTCCTCTGCCTCTTCCCTGACCTCGGCCGGGTGAGTCCCACAAATTCAAGTTGGCGGTGGCCGTGGTGGGGGGAAATTGAGGGGGGCCTCCAGCCAGTTGTCACGGTGTCTACTGGAATTGAGAGACTCGGGTTCACAGGAGCGGGGCTTATGATCGATCAAAGGGGCAGAGCCAGCTGCAGGGGATGCTGAGTTGGGGGAGGTGTTGCCTAACCTAGCCGAGCCCCTCTTTCTCTGGTCTTCAGCAGCGCTGAAGGTGTTGGTGGGGTCTCCACGACCAAGGGGCAGGCAGTACCCCCACTTCTCCCCAGCTCCATGGCCCCACCTCCTCTACCAGCCCCGGATATCTGCCTCCTGCCCCCTCCGCTGGAGGAATTTTCTATGCCCCCTCTCGGTAAGGAGCTCCGCCCTCTCCTTGTAGCTCAACTATGGGGTTGCTCTCACCTTCCCATACCCCTCCCCACCCTCTTGAATCAAATTAGGCCCACCTCAGTGAACGTTTCGTCCAAGGTAGGGGTAACAGGAGAGAGAGGAAGTGGAGGAAGTGAACTAACATAACTAAGCACCTGCTTTATAACCTGGCCCTGAATTCGAAGCTCCTCATTCATTTTCTCAAACTTACCCTTAACAGTATCCTCACACTCCCATTTAACAGATAAAGCTGAGTCTGAGAGGTTTAATTGACTTGCCCAACAGTCGCTTGCTTAGTGCCATTCTGGCTACCCTACACTGCCCAAAGGTTGTGTTTACAGAGTACCTACTCTGCACTAGGCATTGTGGAAGGACCACAATGGCAAGAGCTGGAGGAAGATTACATGAAATGGGTAGATTCTGGCACCCTGCTCTTGAACACTGAAGTTTCCTGGGGTGAGTGGGAGGGGGTTCCCTGTGCCACACTTGCAGCCTCTCTGCCTTCCCTCCCAGCCCCAGAACTACCCCAGCCCCTGGACCTGCCCCCTCCTCCACCCCTGGATGTAGATGAGTTGGAACTGCCACCTCCACCAGGCCTTGGACTGGAAGAGCCCAGCTGGGTCCCCGTTTCCTACTTGGAGAAAGGTACCTGACTCCTGGGATTGAAGGGCACCAGATCCCACCACCAGGGTTCCCCCCACTCTTCTATCCCAGAGGCATTGTGGGCCTATTGTCCTCCCCAATATTCTGATAAACTGAGCAAATGTTCACTCAGGAGTCTTCCAGAACCAAGCTGGAAAGAGCAGCCAGCCTGGTATTGTTAACTGAGCTAGGGAGGGGACCCCTGGGCTTGAGAGGAGGTATCGCTGCAGCCTTCTCCCTTAGATGCTTGCTAGAATCCAGTATGTGGGCCCCTGCATCCCCATAATGAGACAGGAGGCACATCTCACAGCTTCCTCTCCTCCTGCCCTGCAGTGGTGACACTGTATCCATACACCCGCCAGAAGGACGACGAGCTCTCCTTCTCTGAGGGAACCATCATCTGCATCACCCGTCGCTACTCCAATGGCTGGTGTGAGGGTGTCAGCTCGGAGGGGACTGGATTCTTCCCAGGAAACTATGTGGGACCCAGCTGCTGATAGTCCCAGGGTTTCTAGGCTGCTGACCCAGGCTCTGCCCTGAGTGAACTTCAAGCCCCAGACTAAAGGCAGCTCCAAGGTCAAGACTGGACTAGGCCTGCCCACCTCTTGGCTGTGAGCTATCTGCACCTTCCCATTGTGGTGGGAAGGGGTCCTGGGGAGAGGTGTCCAGGGACCTGCTGCAGACAGGAAAGAACTGGAAGCCAAGGAATTTGATGATCTTGTCCAGAGAGGACCACTATTACATGGAGGGTAAGTTCTCCAGCTGCAAGTGCCAACTTTGAATGAAACTCTGATGACCTCCTGATCACTACCCTGCAGGGCTGGGGGGCCAGAGAGAGGATGGACAGAAAGGCATTCCAGTTCTAAGGCTCCCGCGAATTATTGAGCCCCATCCCCAGCAACAGTATCTCTCCCATCTCCTTGGTCCTCATTACCTGCCCTCTATACTAGAGCTGATGCCCTCTGCAACCATTGACCACACCGTGTTCTTTTGCCTGTTGTCTGCCGTGTTATATGTTCAATCTTGATTCCTCAAGCTGGGCGCTCCGCCAAGAGTGGGGACCCACGCCCTTACTTAAGTGGGGCTGTCTGAGAGCAGAGACCACCCCACCTTCCCCCATGATATTGCGGCGCCAGAGATCTCAGTCACCTCTTCCCCCTTTACCTGCTTTATAGCTCTAAAACACCAAAGAGTGAGGAGGGGTTAGGGTTTCACTGGCTCTGATTGAAAACATCATGGCTTTCTGTTCCACACGGGAGAAGGGGGGCACAGAGGGCCCAGCCCGCGGGGGTGACTTTGGTTAAGTCCCTGGTCTCTTGCTGCATAGACAAGGTTGGGGTGAGAGGAGACACCGTGGCACGCTGTGAGGTCCCTGGCTGGCTGGACCTGAGCCGGACAGTGTGCTACCTTGTTCCACCACCAAGAGGCAACTGTCCCCTCTGGCTTTTTTTCTTTTGGGGATGCTGACGGGGTGGGCGGTGGAGGGTGACAAGAAGAAAGGGGGTGTAGTGTGGAGTCTCAGTTGGTGAAGCAAGATCTAGGCCTGGGGCCATCGGTGGAGAGCATCATTTCTCTCCATGGGGTGTCCAGTACAACAGAGATGATTTCAGGCCCTGGGACTCCCCGACCCGAGACTGGGGGAGGGGCGGTTACTCTGCCCCAGGCAGCAGTTAAAGCCATGGGAGATGTTCCTTCAATCCCCTGCCAGGGAACTCCTTCCTCCCAGTTACTAGGACGAGGTTTTTGGAAACGCTGCTGCCTTCCCCGGTAAGCGCACCACCCCGGCTGGGCCAGACTCCAGAATGACTATTTGCCTTGGATCTGGGGGAGGCAGCGGAGCTGTGTTAACTGCATAGATAGGGACGGCTCCGACCTCCCTCCCCCAGCCTCCAAGTGGACGAGCTCGGAATTCTAGAAATTCCCCGAGGGACATACCAAAGCGAAAGGGAAAAGGGAGTTATAAAACTAGGTTGTCTTTCCCGATCCCCCACTTCCTCGCTCCCTTCTTCTCCGGAGCGCCCCCTGCAGGCCGCCGTCTCAGCACGTCTTCAGCACCTGCTGCAGATGGAGGCGCACGTCGGCGGCCGTCTCCCAGGGCACCACGGTGGCTCGGAAGGAGCTGGGCTCGGCTTTCTGCGCCTCCTGGATGAGGCGGTGCATGGGATAGCCGCGGCGCGGGAAGGCCACGTCGCCACCGGCCAGCAGCCCCATGGGGCAGAAGTCGTTGGCGCCGTCGCCCACGTAGAAAAGGCGCTCGAAGTGCACGCCTTCGTGGGCCCGCTCACGCAGGTAGTCGCTGAGCACCTTGTGCTTGCACATGTTGGCAGGGCAGCGCGTGCAGCTGTGAGTGTGGAAGGGCCGCAGTGCCAGCAGCCCCCGCGCGTCGGGCCCGGACGGGTTGCTGAGGATGCGGCGGAACAAGCTGAGGTGGCCCGCGGCGCGCAGCGCGCTCTCCACGCCAAAGGTGTTGGCATCCGAAATGAGAATCACCTCGAAGCAGGCACCCTGCTTGGCCACAAAGTGCAGCAGGTCGCCCATGCCCGGCGACAGGGGGATGGCCTCGTAGACAGCGCGTAGGTCCCGCGGCCGCACGCCCTGCTCGCCCAGGTACTTGAAAACGCGCTGCATATACTCATTGTAGAAGCCCTCGCGGTAAGTGGCACGCAGGCTCTCGGGCAGTCGCTGGCCCGGCGCGGCGCGCACAATCGAGTCGTCGCTGTTTTCGTCCACGATAGTTTCATCAAAGTCGAAGGTCAGGAGGAAGCGCGGCGCGCCCTGCGCAGCCATCCCGCCGTCCTGGGAGCAGGGGGGAGAAGAGCAGCAGGAGGAGGAGGGAGCAAGCGAGAGCGGGCGCGGCGGTTGCCGGCCCGGGAGAGGCTTGTTAGCGGGCCACAGCCAGAGGCGCTGGCACATCCAAGACCTGAGGAGGACCCAAGGCTGGTTAAGCTGGGGGAGTACCCGACGCCGCTCCCACCCCCAGCTCCCTGCCCACCCTCTTGGCACTGCTTCTCAGTTAACTCACTGGAGTTTATTCACAGAGGACCAACCTCCTCTGAACCCAGAAGGGCTTTCCTTGGCACCTGTTTCTGCTACTCTCATCTGGGGCCTTTGCCACTTAACAAGAGTCAGCTTAAAAGAGGGAGGAGCAGCTTCCAACTGGTCACCCTTTGTGGAGGTTTCTGAACTAGACCTTCTAGAGACTTCCAGTGACCCCAGTTGTTGGTATGGATAAAGGGAGAGTGGAGGGGACTGTCCGCTCCCTTCTTCCCTAACATACATAGTCAGGGAAACCGCCCATTTGCCCAACGGGAACAGCGTCCACAGTCCTCTTCTGGGCGGTGACTGATGGCTGTGGACTGTGGTGCACAATAAGAAAACAGACTCCAGGGAAGACTTGTTGGACCCATCCAAAACATGTGGACAATGAGTTCCAGATCTCAGGCCTGGACGGTAGGTGTCTGGGCCTCTGCACTGGCTGGAGAACTGGATTTTAGCTCTTGGAATAACCAGCTAGGTAGTTTGACTGTACAAGACCCAGGAAGGCTCTTCGGGAGCTGCTTCCAGCCAGATTGTTCTGGGCAGGGGTGCAGGGATGGCGCTCAGTTTTTCTGGGATGTTTTAGGGCCCTGCGCTGACAGCTCATCACTAGTCACTTGCCAATTCCCCCGGAGGGCCATGTCAGCGGGTGGGGTTCCTGCCAGAGTCCGAAGCAAGCGGGCAGCAGAAGCAGTGGGGCTTGAGGAGGTAGGAGCCTCCCGTGCCAGGCCACGACATACCTGGGAGACAGGTAAGGGAAAGGAAAGAGAGCAGCAGTGGCTGAAAAGGCAGTGGAGGAGGGTACAGGTAGTGGGGACATTGGGGGTGTGTGGTATGAGGTAGCGGTGGGGGAGGAGGCTAGGAGGAAGTCATGCTGGGGCAACATAGAGACAGACTGGACAGGAAGACAGAGTGTGGGTGGGGAGCTCCAGGAAGTGGAAACCTTGAGCCAGAGCCATGTTGAAGGGGAAACATGGGAGAGGATGGCGACAACAGGGCAAGTGTGAGGGCACAAAGAAAGGCAAGCACATGGAGGTAGCAGAAGCCCTCAGCAGCCTCTCTGCCGCCTCTGGCTGCCAGCAGCTATACAGGACAGAGGAGCAGTGAACAGATCATGCACAGCTTCAGAATATCCACCGCACTGCCTTTCTCCCTCCAGCTTCCCACCCCGATTAGTCTGGTCAGAGCCACTCCTCTTTTTGGAGTATTCCTAACTCCCCCTCTCTAATATTCCTATGATGTTTATGGCCTGGCACAGCTTGTGAAACTGAAGTCCAGGCTCATAATTTCAGAGTTGAGATTTGAACCTGGCTCTCTGCCTCCCTAATAGAACTGTCCCTTTGACCTCATCCTAGAGTCACCCACCCTCTGGTCTTAGCAACATCCATCTGGGACTCTCAGTGGCCCAAGGGTCCCTGGAGTTGAGGATGTAAAGCATCAGGATCCCTCAACTGGGATGGAAGTTTCTAGGAGTTAGTGGAGGCCCCTAGTGGAGCTATCCCCGTTAGTGGAGGCAAGCCTGAAGGAGTGGTTAGGGTTCTTCCCACCCTATGATGGGGACATGGGGGCTGAGGCCTCAGCCTAACAGACCCCTGGAGGGACCCACTTACCCTAGACAGGCATCGGAGGCCAGCAACTGGAAAACACCCGCTCATTGTTGGTACATCACCCTGAGCACCACCTGTAGGGACTCTGTTGGCCTCTAGCCGTCGTCCAGAGCTCCTGATAACCATATAAGGTCTGTTTGAGGGTGCCCAGACCCGGCCTCATCCCCTTTGCTGAGCCCCAGGAACGATTCCCAGGGACTCAGTAAAAACAACCCCTCAGATAGGCAGAGCAGTTACAGATCGGAGCCCTTGCTAGGCATCCTTTTAGCAATCCACTAAGATGCTGGAGAGTTTACAGATGATATATTGGAGACCCAGAAAGGTAAACTGACTGGCTCAAAGGTCACCCACCGTAAGTGGCAGAGACAGATCTCAAAACCAGATCTGCGACTGAAACCAGTGCTTTTCTCTAGTATGATCATTACCTCTGTGTACAGTACATCATAGTTTACAAATCACCTTCACTCATGTTCTCTCACGGCTCATCATAGTCCCTTAAATTCAGCAGATGAGAAGGGTTCAGAGAGGTTAAATAACTTGCCCGTGGCCATGCTGTTCCCATGGGGCAGAACCTGGTTCATAAATAACTGGCCACAGCCTTGCCTGCCCTCTGTCCTCACAAGAGGCAGATGACCAGGCTCATTGCACCACAGCTGGGGGGCCCAGACCCCTGAGCACCACAGGTGATTTGGGACTGGCTTCCCTGGTGCTTTCAGGGCCGCGGTAGACTGGAGAGTCGGACTGAAATTTCTGCTGGACTTTGCTATGTGGCTTTGGGGATAGGGTTTGGTTTTGTGGAGCTTTCACCAGCACAGCTACAAAGGACACCACCCACAGCTCCTAGTGCTTCCCTTTACTCCCTCCCCCCCACACACACACATACACACTCGCAATCCTGGGGTTCAGTAAGAGAGCAGAGGCAGCTGGAACAGATCTGGAAAGACACTAGAGCCAGGAGACTAGACAGGGAAAGGAGCAAAGGTCTGGCTGCTGCCCTCTGGTGGTGAAAATGGGTGACACTGGAAACCCCTCTGATTTTGTCAAGGTGACACTCCCCAGACCATGCCAGGACAGCAGGGAGAAGCCATTGCCCTCAAGACAGAGACTGGGACATCCCAGGAGCAGGGAACAGACAGAGAAAGGGGCTCTATCACCCTCTATCTTGACATACTCCATCTCTCCCCACTCCCTGACCACATATATATTATAAACTCTCTCGGTTGGGATGGGATGTGTCTCAGCCTTTTCTCTAAGTATTTTTAATCTAGGAATTAGGAAATATGGTCAGGCCAAATGAGTCAGTGAGGAAAAGAGGGAGGGGATTGGGAGAGGAGAGATGGGAACCGTTGGGAGGCGCAGGGAACAAGGGAATGGCAGGTGCTGAAGGGTTGGCGGGCTGTCCCCAGGCCTTATCTGGAAGGAGTTCCAGTCTTCCAGAATCCTGGGTAGTAACACATGTCCCACCTGGGGCTAGGAGAAGGGTCACGGGATTCCACCCCCGTTGTAAAAGCAAATAGGGACAGACACGCCAGGCACGTAGAAAAGCAGGATTTAATACAAAGATACAGAGGGTGGTTAGCAGCCACCCAGAGACTGACTTTCATCCCATAGAAAAGGATCTCCTTACTCTGCACTTGTTTCTTTTTCTAGTTTGGTAGAATATTTGGATTTTTAATCATCTTCAAAACTTCTCATTTCTCATAGCAAAAGAAATAGTTACTTTTCTCATACACTACTAATGGTATTTAGGGAAATCAGTTAAACATTTATTATTTAGTAATTTGCCCTTGTTTCTTTTAGTTCCCAGAGCAGAAAGCCAGGCATCCTGGGTTTCTTCCCCTGGAAACTAAGAAGACTGTGCTGTGACATCCCACCCCTACCCCCACAGTCCCACAGTAGTTGGAGGGACCTTGAGCCCATTCGAATCTGGGTCCCGTGAGAGTGATGTTTAAAGAGGTTACTTACTCACCTCTAGCAGCTTTGTCCTGAGTGATCAAATCGTTTCGTGGTCACGAAAAAGAGTCCCTCAAAGAAAAATGGGACAGAATCTCTGAGCTTCTCCTGCAGGCTAGAGCAGAGAGAGAAGGGTTTCTTCGGAGTGGCACAGAGTCTATAACTAGTCCCATCTAAAAGTGATGTCTGCCTCCCTGATTCCATACCGGATAACCAGATTCCTCCCCGCTTCCCCCGCCCCTTTTACACAAATGCTCTTGGATGACATCTGTGGGATTGGACGGGAGGGTCCCCTGGGGGTAGGGAAGGAATCAGGCCCCAGGTTTGAAATTCTCCTCTTAGTGGATGGACAGAGCCTACAGTTTCAGGACAGCTTCCCACAGGAAATGTACAGAATGGGGGTGGGGGAAGGACGAGGACCCCAGAGATACCACAGTAACAAGACCAGGTCTCCTTGTATCAATCACTAGAAATTAGATACGGTCACTAAGGTGGAGTTCTTTTCCTCCCCCAGACAGCAGTCCCAGCTTCACCAATCTCTTCCTTGCTCACCACCAGCAGCAAATAGGAAAAACAGAGGCCCAGAGAGGTCAAGGCAACATCCTGGGCCACACAGTATCAGAATCAAGATTAGAATTTAGGGGGCTCTGGTGACTCTTGGCAAAATTGCAACTAAAGCTTCCCTTATTGCTCTGGAGACCCCTTGGGCTGTGAGCTTCCAGTCCTGAGTAGCTGAAGGTGATGATCTGGAGCCCTGGTGCCAGCAAGGAAGCTGGGACCAGGAGTCACCTCTGGGTTTGTCCCGCTGTGAGGGGATCCTCACTGGGCAGGGAGGTGGCAGCTGC